GAAGCCCCGGCTACCGGCCCCGCCAGCCCGGGCCACCCCGGGAGGCAGCGCCGGGGGTGACAGTCCCATCCTGCCTCCCCCTCTGGCCAGTCGTTCCGCGGTAGCTGCTCCAGTTGGTCATGAAGAAGAGTTGGCTGGGGCAGGAGGGAATGCTGCAAGGTCGGGATTCCCCCTGGGAAGCAGCCGGGATGCAGAGCATTCCCTGGCTCCCTTCACTTACCTCTCGGGCTCCTTTCCTGGTGGTGTTGATGGCGGTTGTGCTGGCACAGCCCGAGCAGGGACAGGGCTTTCCTGGGCTGCAGCCACCGATAGCAGCAGAGCCTCTGGCAGTGCCTGGCTCCTCACGACCTGCCCTGCAAGTGTAGCGGGCTGCACAGTGGCTTCGTTTGGATGGCTCTTCCTTTGCTTCTCTAACGCAGCCTCCAGCCAGGGCTGCTGCCACCGTGTGCTGATGCTCACCAGCCGGGGAGCCCGCCCTGCTGCACTCGAGGTGGGTGTTACAGTGACCAGCAGCCCTGCTGGGCTCGGCTCTGCCCACACTGCAGCCTGGCTCTCCCTCCTGCTCAGTATGGTGACCAGCTCCACCCTCCTCTGCCTGGTCTGCTCTCTGCTCCCACACTGGGCACAGGAACCATCCCTGTGCTGGAGCTGGGCTCCGTCAGCTCCTGTGCTGCAACCTGAGCACATTGTTTACACCACTTCCCACCCCTCTGCAGTCCCCACCTCGCCCTCACCCCCAGTGCTGTTTTTTCCCAATAAAACACATACCCACTGCCTGTTTAGATTGGAGTGTTATTTCTCTGTGTGCCATTGTTAAAATGCATGTCTGGACAGGACCTTTGTCAGTAGGATTGGGGGCACCTGGGATCCCTGGCTTTCTGGGAATGGTGGGGCTGTGGGATGCTGAGCATTTTGGGGAAGTGAAGCAGGGAGTGTTAGCAGCAAAGCCTGAAGAGTTAATTTCGAGTGCCTACAATACCCTTTTCCTTCTCCCTTGGCTGCCAGGACAACCTGTGGAGCAAGAGGAGGGGAAAACCATCTCTCCCCTCCTGCAGGGCAGCAGTCCAGGCTGGGGTTCACGGAGCTCCAGCAGCTTTCCTTCCTCGGGGCTGGCAGGTCCGTGCAGAGGAGGCAGGGAGCAGGGCACAGCTGGCTGCTAGCTTCTTGCCTCCTGCTCTTTGGGACTGTCCTCGTGCAGGTCCTCCTCGTCGGACTGCACCACAGGGGTCTCAGCCCCCTCCTCGCTGGTGTCCAGGCTGTTCAGATCCGTGGAGACCGAGGACGTGGAAGAAATGCGGGACTTGCTCTCGGCTGCGTTGGGCACTTGCAGGGTGATTTCCTCTGGGCACTGGCTGGCATCTGCCCCTGGGGGAGACAGCGGTAAGAGAAGGAAGGAAAAGGCTTCTGGAGGTTCTTCATCCCCGGGCTTCATGGAAAACCCTCCAACACTTATTCTTGGGCAGGCTGGGCTTGCCTGGCCCCTCCCAGCAGTTCCCCACGCGGCTGCCGTGGCCGTTTCCCTCATCACACCCCCGGGTTGGCTCTGGGCAGGGCTGCACGTTCCTTCCCCGTTTTTGGCAGTGCAGCCTCTTCCGCCTGGTGTGCAGCCCGGCTGGGGGCCGGGCTCTGTGAGGCTGTCAGCCCCAGCAGCCCAGGAGATGTTTGGCTTGGCCTCCATGAATCACTGCAGCGTGTGTTGTTGGGAGGAAGGTGCTGGCACCCTGGGCTCACCCTGTGGGACCCAAGCCTGGCTGCCTGGGGTCTGGCTGGGAGGTGGAGGGGTTGTGCAGCCTTCCCACTTGGCACAGTGAGCTCTGCAGCGTGGTGGGGACCTGGTAAATCATGACAAGACACTGACTGCTCCAGAGGAGCTTCAGGACAAGAGAATTCGACCCTCGGACTCTGGGAAGTGCCTGAGTTTCCTTGTTTTCTGCAGTATGAGGTAGGGTCTGTACCTCTGGGTGGAGGATGGATACTGATGTGGACCAGCCTAGAGTGAGGTTGCTCCAACCTCTCAGATCCCAGCACCAGATATCTCTGTGTGTGTGTATCTGCACGCAGGGTGGCCAGAGCTGAGGAACAAGTTGGTGTGGGCACGGGGGGCAGGAAGGGCTCCCAGCCTGGCCTGCAAAATGCTTGGACTGCACATACCTGGCAGGGGCCCAGCAACACTGCTCTCCTCTGTCCCACAGCCAAGAAACACATCCACAGTGTCCTGGTCTGACAGGTCCATCATGTCCATCTGCTCCAGCATGTCCACGTTGACCTCCATGGAGGAAATGCTGCCTAAAGGGGCTGCAGAGACCAGTGACAAGGTAAGTGCTACTGCCAGGGAAAGGACACCATGAACCATGTGCAGGCAGGACCCCAGGAGGGGCCAGCCCTGCTGTGGGGAACAGAATTCCACTGGGAGTCCCCCAGGAAAGCCACATTTCCTTAAAACACCACTCTGGAATCCCTGGCTGCCTCACTGCTTATCCCTGCCCCAAACTGCTGCCCAGAGGAGCCTGTCTGAAGGCAGTGACTACTCAGGGCGCCAGCCTGGGTACCCATGTGCAGTGACTTCAGCTGCGTGGTGTGAGTAATGCACAGCGTGTGTGGTCCTGTCTCAGGGCAGGACACGTGTGTCCCCAGCTGCTGGCAGACTGGGGATGTCCCCTCCATCTCCAGCACTCGTGTTGTTGCTCTCTGAAACACCCCTGCAGCACTTACGTCTCCGGTGCTCTATCTGCAGGTGAGACAAAGGGAAGAAGAAATCCACGTCGTGCTGGAAAACCTCCTCAAAGAACTTCTGCCGGTCCCGTAGTTTCAGCTGCTGCTGCTGCTGCATCTGCTCTGCATCCAGGCTTCGTTGTGCCTGCTCCATGTCAGCTGGGGAGAGAGGTGAGGAGGGTCGGACCAGGCAGGGCTGTCTGAGCCCTTCTGCCCATCCCAGCTGATGCAGTGTGGCTGTGCTGGGGGGTAGGTGGTTCCCTCCTGCTCTGCTTTATTGGTTTAGTCACCATGAGTAGATGCTACAGGCTGGAACGGCGGCATCACCAGCACCTGCTGTGCTGGAGCCTCAGATCTCACTTCTGTGATGCAGAGCAGCCAGGAGCTGGGAGCTCATGTGCTGCCTTCACCACTCCTGAAGGGAATTACGGAGGAGGAAAGGGTGTTGTTATGAGATCAGCCACGCTTTGCACGTGTTCGAGTTGCAGGTTCCTTGCTACAAAACAGGGTTATCCGTGAACACCAACAAGCAGGGGAAACTCCCAGGGACAGGAACCGGCCTTAGTGCTCCAGGCTTTTTGGGCTGAGGGATGCATAAGGAATAAAAGGCATTAGCAACCCTGTCACCCCTGCATCCGCACCCCTGCTGCTGTCACTATAAATACAGCCGCACCCACGCTCGCAGGCTCCTCTGCTCACATCCCCCGCCTGCACAGCCAGCTTGGCTTCTGCCTGCACAAACATTTTCATTCCTGTAATTCCTCCTGCAGTTCAATGCTGGTGCTTGTGTCCCTGGCTCACACAGAAAGGAGTGCTGGGAGCCCTCAGGCTGTTGCTGAAGGAGGTTGTTGCTGAAGGAGCTTGTTGCTGCATCCCTGGCCCTGGTACCTCCCTTTCAGGGAGTACCTGCATTGCAAGGACCCAAATGGCATGGAGGGGCCGTGGCTGGTGGCCCTGGCTGTTCCCAGGCTGGTGTTTGACCTAAGCCATTCCAGATTTCCTCTTTGCTGCTTTTGGCCCAGCCAGTACAAGGAAAATGTGATTACTGGAGCAGGCAGTAACCAAGGAAACCAAACAAACATCCTTTGCTCTGCCTGAGTACAGCCCAAACCCTCCACTCCTCTGGGCTGGGGAGGAGAGAACAAAGGGAGCAGCATCCCCACCCTGTCTGGCAGGAGTGGGGGCGAGGGCAGCAGCAGGGCAGGCTGTCAGCAAGATGTAGTGGCATAGGACCCAAATGGGAGAGAGGCAGTGGGCCTGGTGAAATGTCCTGGAGATCAAGGTCACATCTTCCTGAGAACCCTTCTAGGGCTCCCTTGCACCCTGTTTCTGGGGCATCCTTCAGCTAAACCCCCTTGTCTGCAGGTGCCTGCCCGGGAGGCTGGGTTGTGCCTGCAGCACAGCACAGGGGATGCAGGGTGACTCAGGGTCAGTCACCAAGCAGTTTGTGGAAGAGGCTCTGGTCCTCTTCTGGCTGCTCAGCATCTTCCTGTGATGCCTGGGGCAGTGAATCTGACTGCCTGAAGGGGTCTTTGCCTTGGTGTGTCTGACCTAAGCACTGGCTGCCTGCTTTGGTACAGAGACTTGGTGAGCTGTGCAGCACCCTGGGGTGGTGGACACACTGTACTGGTGAAGGGTTCCTCATGAGGCTGACCAGAGGCTGCCCCAGTGCTGCTGGGGTGAGAAAAAAATCGCCTGCCTCCCCTATGCTATCTGAAAAAGAGAATGGAGCCAGAGACAAACAGGGAGCACTGATTGCAGAGCTGGTTCCCTTCAGTAGCTGGAGCCAGCCCTGTCCTGTCTGTCCCAATCACAGCTCTGCCTGCCAGCCCAGCTCTGCCAAATCCATGGCAAACTGCTGCAGATTAGCACAGCAAGGAGAGCCCATGGGGCTCCCACCATAGGGAGGCTGGGCTCAGGACAGAGGCTGAGCTGGCTCCCAGATTTAGGGCAACAGACCAGCTCTCCGTGTGGCATCTTACCCAGTGTGGAGGTAAGGAGGAGGGTCTCTAAATCCTCCTGCAGTGCAAATACAAACCAAAATGCTAAGTGGGTGTTGTCGTGAGTGTGGCTGATCCACGAGTGTGGCTGATCCCTGCCATTAGTGCTGTCACTGCCCACCTCTCCTCGGCATGTGGCTGATACTCAGATAAGGGTGCTGGGGGCAGCAGGGAGCTGGTGGCAGCATTCCTGTGGGCGCGGGGATTTCTCTGGCGGGGGGAATTAGCAGGACCTGTTTATGAACTTGTTTTTTGAGCCCTCTCCGGGGCGTTGGGCACGAGCACTGAGATCCCATTATGTAAAGAACGCCGGCAGCAGGAGATGGCAGCTGGGCTGTGCTTGGCCCTGCCTGACCCGTGACCGCGGTGGGAGTCGGGGATGGAGCCTTGAGCCTTTCCCCGCTCTGGGGGGCTCTTCCGGGCCCATGGGGGGGGGGGCGGCACAAGCCCTGCC